TTTATTTGCACAGTTCAGGGCAGTTTGCAGCAGGGATCCCAGGTTTTTCTGGGTTTATTTGCACAGTTCAGGGCAGTTTGCAGCGGGGATCCCAGGTTTTTCTGGATTTATTTGCACAGCACAGAACTTCGTGTCAGAACCAGGGAATTTGGCATGTTGCAGTAATGGGAAAAAAGGACAAATGTTATCCCTGGGGATTTCATCACCCCCTCCGAAGTCACTGTCTGATTTTTCCATGGAAATCTGCTCCCAGCCTGCTCAACCCCTTCCCTCAGGCCACTGATGCAGCCAGAGCAGGGCTCCTTCTTTGTGGGTTGTCTTGGCAACATGTGATGTCCAGAGGGGGTCAAAGCCATGAGCAGGGCTTTCCTGGGGTGACCCTGTGTTCCCAACGCTAAAAGGCATTTTTGAGGGGGAGAATTAACATAACTTATCAGGGTGACTGCACAGGAGGCATATTTTTAATTTCGAGTGTGTGCATTTTACATTCCTGACTCCAGACCTGATGCTCAGTTCCTCCCTCTGATCCAGGGCTTTCTGGAGTCAACAGGGCTCTGTTTACTCCAGTGATCTGTGGCTCAAGTGTTGCCATAAAAGCTTTTGGATCAAAGCACACGTTGTACAGAAAGTCAGACAGGTATAAAGAGCATCTGTTGTGTTGAGTCATTTGAGTTTGTGCCATGCCTTGGACCACTTGTGGATAAGCTCTCAGCTTTCTGCTGTGTGTACACCACTTTAAACCAAGCTTGATGTCTGCCTGTCTAATTCTAAGCAGAGGGAAAAATATTGCCTGAGTTTATGCTTCGGCATCGTGGGCTTCAAGAGGCTGTGGGAGTTTAAGTGCTGGGACCAGGGCAGAGAGTTTAAGGAGGGTTTTAAGACCACAAACTCACTGTTCAGTGCTTCTGCAGCCTTTGCAGGACACCCAGATGTCAGTGGAGAGATCAAAACCCGCTGGGTAATTGTGAGGGATAAGTCCATGGATGGTGGATGGCTGGTTACAGGGATGACTTCAAACAGCTCCAAGTCTTAGATGTCTTCAGACCCGTCTTTCTAAGCTCACCTCTGTGTGGTTTCAGGGTTTTCTCTTGCTCTATTCAGAAATTTAAACTTGTGCCTGTCAGCTAGAAGTGCTGCCATGCTGTTGAGTAGTGACCAGAGCAGGATGGAGAGATGTAAGTACCCTGAGGATGGACCAGCCTCTCCAGGGAGGTTGTCCCTGTGTTCCTGACTGGAGCAGCACCAACCTGTGCAGCCCAAGCCACCTTTTCCTGCACAGTTTGTCTGTTTGGTTGTGCTGCCCAAAGCTAAAACGACCTGTGTAGCTCTGGAATTCAGTTATCCACAAAAAATCACGTCCTTGTGGGAACTGGGTTTGAAAACTGGCTCTCTGCAACTGCTACAAATCATCTGCTAATTGCTCAGAGAACTATTGCAAGGAGTTGAGTGCTGAGTCTGTGCTTCCCAAATATCCCTGTGTTTCCTGGTCATCCCTTATCCTGCTTTGATCCCTCCTGCTGTCACATTTTCCCCATCACTGGGGTTTTGCCTCTCTCTGCTGGGAACCTGAAATGTGTGTGTGTGTTCATCTTTAGGGCTCGATTTTCCCCTTTTTGTGCCTCCTGCAAATCTTATTAAGCCTCGTTGTATTAAATGGCAGAAACACGCAGTTAAGTCTGAGGTTTTCAAAATGCATTAGACCTCTTTTCAAGTATGCAAAGTGTAAATGGATTTTTGGTGCTTTGGGAATGCAGCAGTGTGTTTACAATTTTGGTTAGATAAAAGGATGCTGAGATGGCCTTTAACATTGATTTCACGTTACGTTTTTCTCGGCTTTAATACAGCCTTGGAGGTTCTTTTTAGTGTTCTGATTTACAGAATGCATTGGAAAATGAGTTTTATTTTATTTATCACCCAGTAATGGGCTTTTCTTTCTGTTCTTCCTCAGTGTAGTTGGCTTTAAAAATAGTAACCTGTGTAATCTTGTTAGGTCAGGCTCTCTTCTTGCAGGGTTTCTATTGTAGGGTGGATTGAAACACTGAGAAACACAAACTTCTTGCACTGTTTTGTTATTTTTCTTGTGAATCCAACTCGAGCCTAGTAAGCCACGACAGGTATATATTAAACCTAAGCTTTTTTGAACCTGAAAGGAAAGTTTTCTCAGTAATATAGGTTTAAATATCAGGAGAAACTGAGCTCTCTCTGTGCTGGTCGTGTCATTCTCGAGCACATCTGGGCAGTTCAGCTCAAATTCCCATTCTGCACATCCTAGGCTGCAGCAGCAGAGGCTGCTGGTATTTATTCACCTTGCAGAGGCAGCTGGAAGGTTATGTTTGTTATACATAAAGTGCAATTTGACAGTGAAAGCTGCCATGGAAGTGCTGTACATAAATGGGGCGATTTGTCCAAGGAGGCTGACAAAAATAATGGCAAAAAATAAACTGCTCTCTTGGGTGAATGGGCATTATCTGTCTGTTATCAACCCTTTGAGGGGACTCTGGAGCCCTGAGGTGGCTCTTGCAGGAAGCAAAGAGGGACCAGAAAAAACCAGGCCTGGAGTTTTGACTTTTTGAAGTGCCTTCGTTATTGAAATCTAAATTTAATTCCAGTTATGATTACTTTGAGAGCGATGCCAAGTCCTATATAACCTGACCTACTTCAAAAGTGTATGGAGAAATATATCCATCAAACTGACCTTCCTTTTGTCATTTCACATCTCAGTTGTCACCGTGGAAAACTTGGCATTAATTTTTCAACAGGCAGAGAGAGACAGATTGGGTCAGATGTGGTGACTTGCAGGTAACAGGAGGCGTATTTGTATTGATCAGCAAAAGGAGATGAAGTGCCTGAGAGATGGTGAATCTCCTGCTCATTCTCTCAGTTTATCTATCCACGGATTTGGTGTAGAATTCCTTGATTCTCTCAGTTTATCTGTCCATGGATTTGGTGTAGAATTCCTTGATAAATTATTGGTTTAATGCCCTTAACTCTATAGAATCTCAGAATGGTTTGGGTTGGAAAGGGACCTTAAAGCTCATCTTGATCCAAACCCTGCCATGGACAGGGGCACCTTCCACCAGCCCAGGCTGCTCCAAGCCCTGTCCAACCTGGCCTTGGACACTTCCAGGGATGGGGCAGCCACAGCTTCTCTGGGTAACCTGTGCCAGGGCCTCCCCACCCTCACAGGGAAGGATTTTTCCCATATATCTGATTTAAATCTACAGTATTACAGTGTCTGTCAGCTCTGATGCTGCCTAACAAATGTGTGCCTATAAGGAGGTGCAAGAAATGGTGATTTAAACAGAAAACAAAAACCACTCAAAAAAAAACATTTGGCCCATTCCATGAGTAGCTGGTTACACTCCAGAGCTCTCTCTTGCAGATGTTGTGGACAGACCTGTGGTGGATTCCTTGCAGTGCAGGTTTGGTGCTGGCAAGCTGGGATGCACCAGGAATATCCTGGCTGCAGCAGCACAAGAGCTCAGTTTAGATCCCTTTAGCCCACTAAAAAGCCACGTGCTGTGCTGTGCTGCAGAGCCTGCACTGCTCTGGCTTCCTCAGCTTGGCTGAATAAAGCTAAAAATCCATCACCTTCCTCCCTTCCCTTCGCTCGGCTGAGGGGTGAAAGGTGGTAGGGAGGAATAAATCATTGCTTTGAGGCTCCTTCTTTCCCTCTACAAAGCCAGAACAGTGTAAAGACACATCAGTAAGAGCAGGTCTTGCCCTCTGCCCAGGAATATGTTTCTAAAAGAGGAGTCTCAACCTTTGCAAGGGTGTTTTTGGCCTGTCTGCCTTTGTTATTCCACAGGTCTGGCCCCCACTAGACTTCCATGGCCACTGAAGGCTTTTGGTGATGTTGGATTTCATCCAAGTGGTCCAAATTCAGGGCAGACTGGGCAGCTCCAGCTGAGCATCAGGAAAAGGAAGTAAGGAATGTTCCCTCTTGTGCAATATGAGGAAAAAACATGGGCATGCCTTCTGTTTAAATTCCATTTACAGTTACAGATGGGCAAAGATTTCCAAGCCTGTATTATGCAAAGAAACTTCAGAATGAAATGTTTGGTGCTCGGTTGAGAAGTTGATCTTACGACCTCAGGGGAGAGAAAAATTGGAGAAAAGGAAACTACCCGCATAAAAAGCAGATTTACTGAAGTTTTTTTCATTTTTCCCCCCATAATATTGATGGAAAGGGACATCCTGACCAAGTGTTTGCAATGTTTTCTCTCAGTCCAAGTCTCAACTCCCTCCCTTGTGTGTGAAGCAGAAGGAACTGGCTCAGCAGCTGAGCCCCATCAGAGTAAAACATTAAATCCAAAGCAGCTCTCAGCTCCTCGAGCCAGGAAAATATCCATGTTTTATTCATAGATGAACACTAGTCAACATCCTCCAGTTCCCTGGATACAACCCTGAGTCTATAAATAGCTCTGCAATGACACAGCAAACCAGCATGGGGATGGAAGGCAGCGGCACAAGGCTCATCCCACCTGGATCCTCATGGGAAAACACACATGGACTCACCTCCAGCAGCTGGAGCAGGGCAGTGGGGCTGCCCAGGGCAGATTAGGGTCAGGAGGCTTGTCCAACCTGGGAAAACGTGCATGGAGTCAGCTCCTGCAGCTGGAGCAGGGCAGTGGTGCCCAGGGCAGGCTGGGCTCAGAGGGCTCATCCCACCTGGATCCTCATGGGAAAACATCCATGGAGCCATTCCAGCAGCCAGAGCAGGGCAGTGGGGCTGCCCAGGGCACACAGGGCTCCCTGGGCTTATCCAGCCTGGATCCTCATGGAAAAAAAAACATGCCTGGAGTCAGCTCCAGCAGCTGGAGCAGGACAACAGTGCCCAGGGCAGGCTGGGCTCATCCAAGCTGGATCCTCATGGGAAAACATGCCTGGAATCAGCTCCAGCAGCTGGAGCAGGGCTGTGGGGTCACCAAGGGATGCTCTTCCTCCCCCCTGGGGGGATCTCAAGTTCCTGACCCCTTCCACTCGTGCCCTGCCCCTCTCCTTTACCTGCTGCTGTGTCCTGCCCCTGTTTGGTTCACTGACACGAAGCTCACCTGGATTTTTCCTGCACGCCCAGAGCAGGTGTGTGTATGTTTAGGAGAAGAAAGCTGGAAGTAGTGGATAAACTTGGGATGGAATACAGTTGGGAAACAGAGAATAAATGCATGCCCAGCTCCCTAATGATGCTGTGCCTGATGTATGCTCAGTAATAATTCTCTCTTCAGCTAAAACTGGCTGGATCCTAATTTAATGTAAACTTAGGTGAGTGCAGCTGTAATCATTTACTCCAGACAGGGATGGAGGCCTGGGAGACTTGCCTGGAGTTTCTCACACGTGCCTCAATCATATTTTAGCATGGCTTTAACAGTTCAACAGGCAGAGCTGGCATAACAGATTCATCATGCACGCCCATGATTTATGGACCCCTGTTGATCTATATCCTCGCTCTCCTTATTTTCCAATGCATTTATCATTCTCACGTGGTCATTTCTTTCCACTCTGCAGTTTTCAGAGGCTTCCAGGGTTTTTTTGGGGGGGTTTTTTGGTTGTATTTTTTTTTTTTGGCTGCTCCTGAGAATTTCTCAGGAACTTTATCTGGACCAGAAGAGCCCTCAGCAGAGGGTTCAGCTGGAGAGTTGTGGAGATGGGGACAGGGAGGGTTTTACAGAGAGCTATTAATGCCTTGTGTGATTTCAGCACCAACACAGAGACAGCTCCGTTTTGTATTTATACTCTTGGGGCTTTTAATGAGCTTTTTTCCCCCTGACTTTAATATTTATTGGACCAGAATAACAGGAGATTAAGGATTCTCTAGTAATTCACTTAGGCAGGAGCCAGGCTACGATGCAGAGCTCTGCTCCTTTTAGCTCCAGACACAAACAGCTCCTTCAAAAACATGAATGTGCCTGCAGGAAATAGGGAAACTCCACGTGCAGGAGGACAACCAGATGCC